GCGCCCGCGTCGGTGAGCGCTTCCCAGAGAGAGGTCTGAGGAGAGCGACGCCGGACCTCGGTCCTCCACTGCTCGCCGCCCGGGCAGAGCTGGGTGCGGAGTAGTCTCCCGGGTCCCTCGGGGAGTAAGGGTCCAGGCCGGTACCCCCAGCCCGCTTCCTCCTGAGGGTCGGAGCAGCGGGGGAAGAGGCGCCCCGGAACTCACCTCGAGCTTGTTGTCAACATCAGCCCCTGCCCGCCACTCACCAGCGCGGCCGGGCTGCCAGTGGGGGCGGGGCGGAGGGAAGCGGAAGGGAAGAAGCTGTCCGCGCGATTGCCAGATGGAAAACAGAGCGGATCGCCCGTCCCCCCGCCGCCGGCATGCCGATCTCCTCGGTTTGACTCCGGAGCGGAAAATATAGAGAACAACCTCATATACGTTCTACTCATTTAGTGGCTCTTTCAAATTCCCCACTAGATGAGACGAGCGAATCTTTCAGACAGGCAGTAGGACAGCCGCCGCCGGCCCCTCTAGCCAGGGCCCCAGCAAAGGGGAGGAGGGGCCCAAGGACCTGAGTAGAAAGTGGATTGGTCACCAGGAAAGGGAAAGCGCCTGAATTGGAGATGCGCAGGCGCAAGTCTTCCGCGGGTAGGGGCAGTGAGAATGAGGCGGAGGCGAGCAAATAGCGGGTGAGGCACGGCGGTGTGGTAGCCGTGTTACGGAGCGCCATTAAGGACAAGTTTGGTCACGTGATTCTCATAGGCTTCTCCTGGTTTGAACTGTAAGGAAGAAGTCCAGAAGGGAACGTTTCATTGGACTAATTCGAGGAAGGATTGACTATTTGGGAAACTGGAGAAGCTGAAGAATATAGCTGGTGAGGAGGGTGAAATTGATTAAGGATGGATCTAGATTTAGGAGTTCCCTCAAAGACTCCAAAAGTCCTTCATCCAGAAGTAGCTTCAAGAGTTGGGGAGGAATCAAGCCTTTTCCCATTCGGTTCTTAGAAGTACCCGATTTCAACAAGCCAGTTTTAAAAATAACAATGAAAGCACCTATGTAGAAACGGGAAAGCTTTGTTTGATCTTTTCTAACGAATGTCGACTTTAAAAATGAATATCCTATTTTGCCTCAGTTGTTGAAATTGTGCTAAAACCTGCTGACATGGTCTGACTGGGTGTTACTATCGGTCGCCTTCTGCCTGGTTCAAAGCCAAAGGAACAGAGGTGCAAAACTGGTCTACATTCTTGCTTGGCATGGGGTGCCCCACCCGGTAATCTTGCCCACAAAATGAGCTGCTGCCAGTCTCAAAACACTTGAGACAGGTTTAACACCCCACACACATTTAGGTACTGGACCTTGAACCCAGGGCTTTTGCTCTGAGCCACATCCCAGCCCTTTTTATTATTTATTTAGAAACAGGATCTTTGCTGAGTTCCCCAAGATGGGCATGAACTTGGGATCCTCCTGCCTCATCCCCCAGAGAGCTGGGATTACAAGTATGTACTACCACGCGGGTCTAGATTCACTTTGATCCACCCTTTACCCCTGTCTCTTTTTTGCCTTATGTCTCATTTAGTCTATCCTCCAGATTATGCTCCCAAACTTAGTGTTGGCACTGCTCTGTTTTTTTTTTTTTTTTTTTAATACAGCTCAATGGTGCCAATGCCTGCTTGGCAAGGACCAGGTCCTAAATTTGATCCCCAGTAGCAAAAAAAAAAAAAAAGAATATTCTTCAGGGGAGCTCGTGGGTATGTAGTGAGAAAGTTAATGCTCTGCCATCTGATTGGTCTTCATTAATGAATTTCTGACCCATATTTCTAAGTCCTGGCTATGGGACATTGTTGCGAACCGGCGACGCAGAGCACTGTCCCGCAGTGCCTCAAACCTGAAAGAGCAGCGGGGTGGAGATGGGGCAGAGAGAAAGGAAGGACGCCAAGACAAGAGTCTGATCAAGGCGACGTTTATTGCCGGCAAGCACTGGCCTTTTAAAGGGAAAGGCCGAACTATTATGGGCTAGGATCACCATAGTAACCTCAACACCCGCTCC